TATTTCCAGTTTCCTGTATGTGACGATATGTCCGCAGGGGCGCCCTTGCGGACATATCTTCCCAGAGACGCCCAAGTCCCATGTATTTGGCCCTCGCGGGGCAGTCGCGGGCTGTCTTGGAAGCAATCTTGAGCGAATCCGCATAGCGCTGGGACTATCTCGGGCCGTTTTTTGAACCCGAAGGCCCGTCGAGGCCCGCGAGCCTCATGAGCCTTACTAGCCCCGCTAACGTTACGGGCGTCCGCCAGGAGGAGGAGGACAGGGGGAGGGAGAATAGGAGGGGGATGTTGGGATATGTCCGCAGGGGCGCTAGTGCGGACACATCGCCCCAAAGATCTCCAAACCCAATGTCGTTGGCCCTCGTAGGGCCATGACGGACCGTCTTGGAGACCATCTTGGGCGGCGAACCCGTAGAGCGCTGGGATCATCTCGGGCAATCTTGGGGATCAAAGGCCCGTCGAGACCCGCGAGCCTCATGAGCCTCGCGAATCCCGCAAGCCTCGCGGGCGTCTGCCAAGAGGAGGAGAAGGAAGGTGAGGGTGAGTAGGAGGGCGATGTTGGGATATGTCCGCAAGGGCGCCTTGGCGGACATATCGTCTCAAAGACCCTAAAGTCTCCAGTCCTTGGCCCTCGTGGTGGGCCGTTTCGGGGGTTTCTCGGGAAAGCCCGGAGAACGCTCGAAGCATCTCGCGCCGTCTTGCAGACCAACTGGCAAACCCGCCCTCGTGCAAACATGCCATCATGCAAACATATTGTCATGCGCGCATGTTATGTGATGCAGACATGTCATCTGGCAAACCAGTGACCGGGCACACATGTTATCTGGCAATCCTGTTATCACGGAAATACGTCGTCAGGCGAAACTGTAATCCGGGAAACGTCGACTATGATACTCCTCTACATTGAGATGTTGGGAGTAGTGGAACCATAGACAGCGAACCATAGTAGGGGAACGAGAGGGGAGCGAATGCCAATGTCCTTTTGTTTTTATACTGCCGCCGTCGCAACTAGTGGGAGACGGGCGAACGCGTCGCATTCTGTGCTGCACATTTGAAATGGCGGTTGCATCCAGAAACCATGCGAGCTCCTTGGCCGCCTGGCCGTTTCGGCGCAAGTAGCAAGCTGAGGATGCCAAAAAGACAGCGACAGAGAGTGAGAGGGAGGGGGGGGGGATAGACAAGATGCAAGGGGGACGAGAGGAAGGCGAATGCCAATGTGTTTTTGCAATTATGCTGCCGCCGTCGCAACTAGTGAAAGACGCGAGAACGCGTCGCATTCTGCGCTGCATATTAAAAATGACAGTTGCATCCAGAAACCATGCGAGCTCCTTGGCCGCCTGGCCGTTCCGGCGCTAAGAGCAAGCTGAGGACACAAAAGAGGCAGCGACCGAGAGAGGGAGAGGGAGATAAATAACGATCACGCAAATAAGATAGAAGCTGACATGACGTAGAGCATGTGCAACTTCTCATTGAACAACAACAAATTTGATTTAATGCATACCAGAATGATGGTCATGCTGTCTGAAATCATCATGATCTAGCACATATGTTATCTTGCAAATGTGTCGCGTGTCAGGCGTATGATCTGGCAAATCTGTTATCTGGCAAATATGTTGTTTGGCAGGCGTGTGATTTGGCAAATGTGGCATCGGGCCAATATGTTACCTGGCAATTCTATCATCTGTCAAACGTGAAGATAGCGGGGCGAGAGTAGAGGCGGCGCTGAAGGACGGAAGATCACTGCTCGAGCCTGGCCTGCAGGCGAGCGAGCTGCTGTTGCAGCTCGCTCACGGCTCGCTCGAGAGCGTCGATCCTATCCTGCGTGGAGCCGTCGGTCAGAGGCGGGGCCACTGCCGCTCCCGCGCCTGGGCCCCAGGCAGGCGGAGGCGCCGCGGCGGGCGCGCCCCAGGCCGCCGGGACTGCACCCCACGGAGCGCCCCCCGCCTGATCGCCCTCGGCCTGCTCGGGCGCATCTTGCGTGGATCCGTCCGTTAGAGCGATCACACGCGGGGGCGCCGCCGCGTCCGCCGGCCGCTGCGAGCCAGCGGCCGGCGGAGGGGGAACCACTGCCGCGCCCGCGGCTGGGCCCCAGGCGGGCGGAGGCGGAGGCGCCTCCGAGGCGACGCCCCACGCCCCCCACGCCGGCGCTGGCGGAGGCGCCGCGGCGCAAGCGCCCCAGCCCAGAGCCCGCGGTGGCGGCGGCACCGCGCCCGGGTGCTCCGGGTTAACGGTCGTCCCCGGCGCCCAGTTGCGAACCTTCCTGAGGTGCTCGCGACTCTTGAAGTGCTCGCACCAAGGGTCGTCCTCCATTGGGGAGGGGGGGGGGGAGATGGGGCAGCGGGAGAGGCGCGCTCCTATGACAAAAACGCACAGCCTCCTACTCAGGATATCGCGGGAGCGTGGTCTGGGTGAGAGACTGCATGGGGCCTGAGGCCGGCCTCGGAATGACCGCTCAGACTCGTTCAGATATCACCGAGCAAGCTTATCGCAAATCAACGTTGACGATGAATGACGCAGGAACGACAGGAAGCCGCAGGCCATATGCGACTAATACGTGCACGACACAATGGGGAATTCATATGTAAACCATAAAGAATAAGTGGATAACGGAACAACGGGGCAAGCATACATGATGAAAGCAACGGAAACCGATAATCTGGCAGATCTGCTATCTGGAAAGATTCTCATATGAAAATCTGTTATCTGGCAAATCTCGCATCTGGAAAATCTACTATCTGGCAAACGTGCAAAGATGTCATCCGTTATGTATCAATTCTGTTATCTGGCTAACCTGTTATCTGGCACGCCCGTTATCTTGCAAACCTGACAATGTGGCAACCACGATATCTAACTCAAGCCAGGAAGCTTCAACTAATCAGTTCTGATGAGTGATATAAAATAAAGTAACTAGGCCGCGGCTGCGGCTCGCCAGGGCCTCCGCCAAGGATACCCTGCGAACCGTGCATCTAGCAAACATAACCATTCGCAGCCCGTTATCTGGCAACGCTGTTATCTGGCAACTGCGTTAACTGTCACACACGTTATCTGGCAAATCTGCCATCTGGCAAATATGTCTTCCAGCAAACATGTTATCTGGCAAATCTGTTATCTATCAAAACTGTTGGCTAGCAAAGCCGTTACCTGGAATACGTACTATATGAGAGTGCGGCTTATGATAAGCACACAGCACAGATCATATACAAGGCAGATCATGTTTTAAACACAAGTCACCAATATCGCATCGTGAATGGCGAGTTGACGCCGCATCGCGCCGGCTCCACGGCTAAAGGCCTGCGGGCCGTGGGGCGCGACATGGACCGAGGCAATTCAATTCCACGTGGTCGAGAGTTATGCCTTGAAGCCGACGCGTGGAAAGCAATTTGCAAAAAACTCTGTGGGTTGCCGTCGCCTTTTTCTGCGAAAGCGGGGATGGATATCATGCGCGAGGGGGGCCTGCATTCCATGCGCGGCGACAACGACGCATGCGGAGGCCTAGGCGTCCTGCGATTATTGGCGTCGGTCTTGCACGAGAATAACTTTGCTGATTCGGAACCGGCGTTTTAAACACAAGTCACAGACACAGCATGTCGTATACAACAAATGTTAAAAACAGCAGAGTCTAAGGAAATCCGACAGCGCAGGCGAGTAGAGCGCGCGTGCCGACATGCACGATGAACTCCGCAAAACTTTCCGCACGTTACCATCGAACACTGGGGAAGGGCGGCGGCGCGCGCAGCAGCGGCAATCCTGCGCCTGCTTGGCGTCTGCCCCGTTATCGTCCCAATGCGGGCAGATGAGGCACTTCCACACCAGGTTCGAGTCGTCCCACTTCAGCCAGTCCACCTGGCGAAAATCGCGCGCCGCTGCAGCGACGCCCCCCCTCTCTGCTCCCTGGCCTGGCGGCCAGCGGGCAAAAATCTGCGGTTTGAAATACTTTCCGAGAAACGATATATCATCTGAGTTACTCAACTCCCCCCCCTCCCCCCCCCCAAGGATCGCCAGAATTTGCCCTGGACGTCAGACTTCACTAGGAAGACTTTCAACAGCCAAAACGAATGAGTATTCGGGAAGGCCCCATGAAACAATCAGCAGAGCAAAACAAAAATAACGTGCGAATCACGGATCATGGCCCACGTGCCCTCGCATGACAACAACATTAGATCGAGGCAATGCCCGGCCCGCCGGCTCCCCGGTGGCGCCGTCGACAAACGGCACAACGGGGCGAGACAGCGCCATGGCGCGGGCGGCGGCGAGCGAGGTGGCGGACGAGCCCCCCCGGGCTGCTCAGCAAACTCCGCAGAGTGCTCGGGCCGAGGTCACTCCGCAGAGCTCTGAACCTCGCCGAGTAAAACCTTTCCGCATTCCCTTCAAATGTATCATGGTGCATCGAGCGCGGCATTACCATGTCACGTGCAAGCCGCGCCAGAAACAATGTATGTTAAGTGCGTGCTAGACGACCGCATACAAGCCACTCTTTGTACAGTAGACGCCACGTGCAAGACATGTCATACACACCTAATAAGCCATGCACGAAGCATGTCACATACAATAAATGCCGCATGCAATCCGCGACAGATGGAAACTGAGCCCGCTGCGACCAATCGACGCATAGTATACTGCCAATGAAGCGGTTAATTACCACGCATGCCTCATACAATCCATGCCACGTACAACAAACATCACATACCAGATCGGTCATATACGCGGCTGGCCATACACAGTGCGTGTCATATACTAACTATTGTGTATACCATCAACGTAACATACCACACTGGTCATACACGTGGCTGGCACGACCTCACATACATAACAATGCAAACTCGATAACCTCTCATATGTCAGACATGGCCTGTCCTGCGGGCGAAAGTTTTTAAACTGAGCGCAACCGTGCTCCAGAACAGCGATGGTGGCAGGCGAGGCAAAGGGGCCGACGACCAGCGACTACTGGTTGGCTGCATCGCGGCGTCGCGTCGAAGTCGGGCGCAGGCTTTGCTGCGCCGCTCAATCCACGCAAAGCGGGCAAGGGAGCTGGGGGTCGTACGCATCCCAGGTCTCGGTGCCACCGCACACGGGACACGCGTCGCAGAGCGGGCACGGCAAGGATACCGTGCCCCCCGCGACAGCGCGATACTCCAACAACTTGCCGGTGCCGTCGCAAACGACGCACTGAAACGAGTCGTCGAGATCTGCGCGCGCCGCCGTCGCTGCCGCGGAGAGCGCGACCGGCGGCAGAATCGCGTCCCGAGTCAAGCCTGGGCGCTGCCGGAGCAGATTGACCATGGAGTTCACGCTGTGGACCATGTCGTCTCGCTCCTCGGCAGCCGCGGCCTTGTCCTCATCCGACTGGGAGCGAGATCGCACGTGGACCGAGGCGTCGTCGAGGAAGGTCCCTGCCAGGAAGTGCATCGTCGCGAGGACGCAGCGCGCGATGTGCAGCGGCATTTTCTTGAACAGCGTGGGCCACGTGTTCGGCGGCTGCAGAGCGTCTGGGTTGCCGACATGCTGGTACATGACGACGTCCCGAGTCTCGGCGCTCCCCCTTGCGAGCGCCACTGCGAGCGCCGTCCGCGCCTCCCGGCACGCCTCCCGGGCATCGCCCCCGAGGCGGAGGCGCTTGTACGGGAGGAGCCTGGCGTAGAGGGGGCGGCCCTCGGAGAACGTGTCTGGGAACAGCCGGATGGACTGCAGCGCGGCCACGCGACCGGCCGCGGCGACGCGCGCCGCCACCTCGGGGGTTGGGCGGAACGCATCGAAGCGGGGCGAAGCGTCCAGAAAGTGCGCAGTGACGGTGGCCAGGCCGTTGTTCACGCGCACCCCGATGGGCTTCAGCAACTGGGGCAGAGACATCTGGAGGGCCTCGCGGTCGGGCGCCAGCCCGTAAATGTCCGAGTCGCTGACCCAGCTCGCGCCGTCGATCGGGTTCGGCGTCGGCAACTGCGTGACATCGGAGAGGGCCCCGCCGTCGTCGAAGAGGTTCGCGCTCCCGAGCTGGATCGCCTGCACGAGCGTCAGCGAGGGGGGGCGTTCGCAACTCGCAGGCCACGGGTCCGCCATCCGCATGTCGGCCACGACCTTCGGCAACGGCCAGAGGAAGGCCCTGACGGCGTCGAACAAGCGGTTGGCGCATTCCAGCTCGCACTTCCTGTCGATCCACTGCGGATCAACTGGCCGCGTCGGGCCGCCCGACTTGCACGGGGACTCCCAGACTGCGAGCGCGCGATCGCGCTGGCTCGCGTCGAAGTGCGCCTTCCAGCGCGGCGCCGCGCGGCCATCCTCCAAGCACTCGATGCACTCGTGGGAGGAAGCGAACAGGATGCCACGAGTGAAGGCCACGTTCCTGCGCATCGCGTCCCGCGCGTTGCCCTGGACATCGAAGGCGCCCAAGTTCCGGGGGAACACCGTGGTTTGCTGGAGGAGCGCGTCAGCTCCAGATGCGGCCTCCGGCGTCATAACTCTCCACAGGTGAGGGGCATCGCATGCCTCCGCGGGTACGCCGAAGGACTCCATGAGCGTCGCGTTCTCAAGGGCGCCCCGCACGACGACGTCGAAGTTCACCCTGACGTCGTTGGCCCACACCATGGTCAGAATCGCCTTCGTGCCATGCGCGATAGTTGTCGAGCGAGTGCCGCCCGGCGCGAGAACGCGGCCCAGCGCGATCGCGCGCAGGAACAACAAGCCCTCGAACAGCATCTGCTCGAACACAGGCTTGCAGGCAGCCGCGCGCGGAGCCTCCTCCGCGCCGCCGCCGCGGTCGGGCGCCCCCCGGCGCGCGCCCAAGCCAATGGCCTCGGCGTCCGCAGCGAGGACGCCGCGGGTCACAGCCGGAAACCATTGCGTGTCCGAGTAGCGCACGAATCTCACGGCAGTCTGAGGCACATCTGCGAGATTCCCGTACCGCTCGCGATCGTCGTGGTCCAGCGCGCAGATGAGTGGGTGCCCCTTACGGCCGTACTCCTTGGAGGTGTCCCTCATGAACTTGCACTGCAGGGGCCCGAACCTCCACGTGACTGACAGCGTGAAGACGTGGGAAGTTGGGGCGTAATCCCAGAGGCGCAGCGGGCAGGGTCCATGGCACGCCTGATTCCAGGCGTAATATTGTCCGAAACTCAGAGGCGAATGCTCCCGCAGAAACTCCGTGGGCCTCAAGTGCTCGATGTCCTGGGCTCTGTCGAACATGGCCAAGGCCGTGCCAAGCCGATGCGCGACCGGCAGCAAATGCGCGAAATCCATCTGGTGGCCCTCGTCCACGACACCCAGCCTGAACTCGAACTTCCGGAAGATCGGGGACAGCCAATTTTTGCCGCAGTTAATCTGCAAGAAGCAGTCCACCGTCATGACGAAAACGCAGACACCCCCGAAGAGTGTCCCCCTGGCCTCCTCCACGAGGTTGCGGTACTGAAACGTTAAGGCCAGCATCTCTTCGCTCTTGAGTTTCCATTCCTTGCCCTCGGGGGCGGTGAGATCGAGGTTCTCCTGCGCCGTCTGCAACTGCGCCCGCAGGTCGTCGATGCGGCCCTTGATGCTCTCCGTCCAGTCGTCCAGCGCGCGGAGCAGCGCCGGGTCGAGGTAGCCCTCGTCCGCGGCAGAATCATCGCCGGCCGGGCGGCCGATCGCCGCGGCCTCGAATGGGTCGTCGAGCGCGCTGCGGATCAAGCTCAGCATCTCGTCTCGCTGCGTCCGCTGCTGCAGCAGCACCACGCCCTTTACCTTCTCGTCGAAGACGTCGCGGGCGCCGAGGAGCGCCGACACGGCGGTGAGCGACTTGCCGGTGCCCGGGCACGCCTCGCAAAAGAAAGCGCCTCTCTTGGAAGCCGCCATGCACTCTACGAGGGATGTCTGATCGGCCGTCAAGCTCTTGCCGAGTTTCCGTGCGACCGCCGCCGCGGCGCCCGCCGTCAGGCCCGACAAATGGTTGGCGCCGTCGGGCTCGAGGTCGGCCGCGCTGCAGTGCGCCGGGAGCAACGCGCGGCAGGCCGGCGACGGCACCTCGCGCAGGCTTCTGAGAAGAACTCCGATGGCGTTGGACTCTGCCCCGACGTAATCACCAATGCAGACGAGCACCCTGCCAGATGCGAACGAGTTTCGCTGGAGGCGAAGAGTCTGTCGATCTTCGCCCAACACGGACGCGCACATGTGAAATTCGCCGAAGTGCGCCGCGCGCACGAACAGCGATCCTTTGTTGCCGCCGGTAATGTCCATGATCTCCTCCGCCGCGGCCTTGAGGTCGCCCTCTTCGACCACCAGCGCCATGCGGTCGCGGACGTTCAAGGGCGCGCCCAATGGGACCGCCAGGTGCACGAGGTCGCTGGAGTCGTCGTCGTCGGGCGCGCCGTCGACCCGGATAAGGCCCCCCTGGCCGGCGTAGGCGATGTCCCCGCTGAGGAACTTATGGACGGCGGAGTTCTTCAGCTGATGCATCGCGTAGGGGAACCACTCCGTCATGGGCGCGACGTCGCCGAAGCGAGGCTGGCGAGTGCGGAAGGAAACCGTGCCGCACGTGCAGCGGTCGCCGAGCAAGTCGCCGAGGCCTCGCACGCCCCTGGCAAAGCGCGACCGGCAAGGGTCACTCGATGCCAACCACTCCTCCAGATCGGAGAAGCCCAGCTGGACGGGCGCGCCTCCGCGAAGAGTTCGCTCCATCACCTGGCTCAGCGCCCGCGCTCTTGATGCCTCGTCGCGGAGCGCTGTCTTCAGCTGCGCGTGGCGCCCGTGCATCTGCTCCTGCATCGCCACCCATATGGAGCGCAGCGCCGACGCGATGCCAGCGGCGTTCTCGTCGTTCAGGACGACCGCCAAGCTCGAGCGACGGGGTCGGCTGGATAGGGCGCCCATTGTTCGCGCCAGCTCCCCTGCGGGCACTGCGCACGCGCAGGACTGCGCCCACCGGGGGCAGTCCTTAACGTTTCGGCGGCCCAACTGTGGCTGGGCAATGGCGTTCAAGGTCGGCCACTGAACTGGGCGACTCAACGCCACCACCGCTACGGAGAGGACCTTGGCGCAGCGATCGGTCGCCCTGTGTCCGTATTCCAGCGGCAAGGCCAAGTCCCACGCGTCGGCGGCGACAGCCGAAGCGATTCCGCCGCCCCAATCGCCGGGCTTGAAGCCGAGCCTCTCCAGTGGCACACCGCGCGCCGCGACGTCGGGCAGCACGTGGTTGAAACGCGCCAGGATCTGGCGAGGGGCGGAGGCGGCCATCGATGACAACGAGAAGTGATTGGTAAGTGGACAGGCCAGCAAAGCTGAGCCACGTCAAGGAGCGGATAGTGAACAGGCCAGCAAAGCTGAGCCACGTCAGCAAGGCCTCACGGATGCAAAATTGAGCCGACGGCGGAAGACATCACTCTGACCACGAACTCTATCACTGCTACCTTTACGCCAGCAGCTACATGATCACTGTCATATAAAGAAGCGATAGCATACCAGGCAGGTCGCATACGAGGCTGGCCATAAACAGAGCGGGTCAGGGAATATATTTGGGGCGTTTTTTGCTTAAGCGGATCCCCAATTTCCCAAACATGATTCAGATGGCGTCGAATATAACACAATGTGATTTAAGTTGCAATATTATGTAAACAGGGTCATATGTAACTCGGCACATACGTGGCGGTTCATATAAGGGGCACGCAGTACATGATATCGTTATACAGCACATGACATACACATGTGGCAAGCATTATACATAATTCGTAAACCATGTCGCATGTAACATCTGTAACATACAACTGGTATCGCGCACAACAAAGCCATATATCGGCAAGCCCATGGAAATACATCGCGTGGCAACGCTATTATCTTTCAAACCCATTATCTGGCAAACTGTGTTCTAGCAGGGTTGTTATCTGTCCAGCTTGGTATGATGTTAAACCCTAAACAGAATCATTGGCAATTCGGCACATACGTGGCGGTTCATATACGAGGCACGCAGTATATGAGAGTCGTTACAGACAAATGGCGATGTGCTGCAGCAGGCGACGCCCCACTTTGACACCTATTTCAACGTATGGTGGCTGGATAACTTTCAAATTGTGCTTCACATTTTGTTCGATGGGGCGTTTCAAATGTTGTTTATGGGCCCTGGTCTGGTTGTGTTTCTACTCTCTGGCCAAGAGTCCACAAGAGCTCCCTACGAGGATCCCAAAGAAGCCTCAAGATAGCAGAGTTGTGGGAACGTCTCAGACGGAAGTAGCCTGACCACCAGCTCAGGAAATCTCTCAACCCGGAGCTGCGAGGATCTCAGGCGGAACTGGACGGACCACCTTGGGGCAGTGCATTTCCGAGGTCATCATTTCGATGATGTGTCAGGCGAAAGTGGCCTGAGCACCACAGGTCAGAGCATCTGGGAACCCAGAGTTGCGAGGATGTCTCAAGCGGACATTGCCTGGATACTTAAACTCAAGGCGTTTCTGAACCCAGAGTTGCGAGGACGTCCCAGGCGAAAGTGGCCGGACCACTATGAGGCAGGGCACCTCCGAGGTTCGAGTTCGGAGGAGGTCTTAGGCAAAGTGGCCTGACCACCTCAGGTCAGAGCATCAGCCTTCTCCTCGCTCTCATCCTCCTCCTCCTCCTCCTCCTCCTCCCCTCCCCTCTCCATTCTCCTCCTCCTCTTCCCCTTCATCATCCTCATTCGTCGTCATCATCACCATCGTCCCCGCCATCGCCGTCATCATACTCGTTGTGCTATCGTTGTGGTAGCCGTCGGCATCATCATCATCACCATCATCATCATCGTCATCGTCATCATCATCGCCATCATCATCGTCGCCATCATCGTCGTCAGCGCCATCACCACCATCACCACCATCATCATCATCATCATCATCATCATCATCGGGAACCTCATACGCACATTGAAAAATACCACGCTGCGCGTGGTACTTTTTTCTCTTGGGTTTTTTTTCTGGCCCCATAGACCTCCGTCGGCCCTCGACCACCCTCGGCCCACCTCGGTCCCCTTCGGTCCCCCCTCACCCTCCGCCTCGGTCTCTGTGGGCCCCCTCGACCTCTGTCTATCATTCCTCTGGCCAGAGCCCCCACGACCGCCTCGGGATGGCCGAATATGCCCCAGGAAAGAGTCCCACTACGGTCGTCATCATCATCATCCTCATCATCACCATCATCATCATCGTCATGACCAGCATCATCGTCAACATCATCATCATCATCATGATCATCATCATTATCACCACCAGCATAATCATCATCAGCCACAGCATCATCATCAACATCATCATCATCATCATCGTCGTCGTCGTCGTCGTTAACATCACCATCACCATAATCAGCATTATCGTCGTCATCGTCGTCGTCATCGTCATCTTCATCACCATCATCATCATCCTTCTCCTCCTCATCATCATCGGAATCCTCATCGATCTTACGGTGTTTATCCCTTGCGAGTACGCCCTCCGGCGTCCTCTCGAACGAGAGCCGCCGAGCACGCCGGACTGGCGCAGTGGCGGTTGGCTGTCTGCACCTGGGTATACCTGGATATATCGGAGACACCTTCCCTCCTCCTCCTCTTCAGCTCCTTCTTCCGCCTCCCCCCCCTCCTCCTCCCCCACCCCCTCCCCCTCTTCCCCCCCCCCTCCTCCCCGACTCATCCGCGCGAGACGAAGGCGACGACGACGACGGCGCCCGTCTCAGCCGGCCGAGCCGCCGGCGCTTGTCAAGCGCGGTCGCCGTCGTCGTCGTCGTCGTCACGCTGCGGAGTCTACAAATGACGCGCCCAATAAAGTTAATCACGCGGGGCCAACGAAGACGGGCCGACAAGCAGGACGACGAGGGGAGCCAGCGAGGACAAGCCAAGGAGCAAGGAGAGGGAGGGAGGGAGGGAGGAGGGGGAGAACGAGGATAACGGCGACCAGGCCGAGAGAGACGAGGAGGGGGGGTGCAGGAAAGACAAGGAAGCCGAGAGATACACACCACCAATAAGGGCAAGGCACAGAAGGAGGAGGTGGGGGGATGGCGGAACAAGCCGAGGAAAGCAAAGGAGCCAAGCAAGGAAAGTAAGGTGACACAAGGGCCGGGCCACGGGCCGAGACGACCCCCGGGGGGAGCCGAGGAGACGGCCAAGCCCGGGGGGGGGGGGGGGGGACCCACGGAGACCGGCTGCGGAGACAGCGGGGGCCGAGGGGAATGAGGCGGCCGGAGGACCGAGAGGAAGGCGGGGTACGCCGCGCGCGGTGTTTGGCCTCGGGGAGCTATCCTCTTCCTCTCCTCCTCCTCCTCCTCCTCTTCCTCCTGCGCCTCCCCCTTTTCCTATTTCTCCTCCTCGGGAAGCGAGGGCGACGACGACGACGACGACGACGATGGCGCCTGTGTTTGCTGGCCGAAAGGGTGCGGCCCGCTGGCGCCAAGTCGCCCAGTCATCCAGTGGTCACTGTGGATCAGCACTCCACATGAACGCGCGCAAATGCTGGGCAGCAGGAAACAACAACAGTCATATTGAGACTGTTCGTCCTCACGCGCTTGCGCGTTGGCCAATGCATGTGCCCCGATTTCACGATGCAACTCCAGCAGAAAAAGTACCACGCGCAGCGTTATACTTTTCAGTGCGCGCGCCTGCGTTCCACATGAAATATATCCCAAACGCCGACGCAACCTCCAGAGAAAAAAGTACCACGCTCAGCGTGGCACTTTTCAGTGCGCGCGTCTGCGTTCTGAATGAAGTGTATCCCAGAAGCCCGAGACAACCCCAAGAGAAAAACTACCACGATCGGCGCGGTACTTTTCAGCGCGCATCTGCGCCCCCAATGGAGTATCTCCCAAACCCCCGACGCAAACTCAAGCGTGCGCGTCTGCGTCCTGACTGAAGTATATCCCGGACCCCTGAGGCAACCCGCAGAGAAAAAGTACCACGCGCAGCGTGGTACTTTTCAGCGCGCGTCTGCGTCCCCAATGGAGTATATCCCAAACCCCCGACACAAACTCAAGCGCGCGCGTCTGCGTCCTGACTGAAGTATATCCCAGACCCCTGAGGCAAACCGCAGAGAAAAAGTACCACGTGCAGCGTGGTACTTTTCAGCGCGCGTCTGCGTCCCCAATGGAGTATATCCCAAACCCCCGACACAAACTCAAGCGCGCGCGTCTGCGCCATGACTGAAGTATATCCCAGACCCCCGAGGCAACCCGCAGAGAAAAAGTACCACGCGCAGCGTGGTACTTTTCAGCGCGCGTCTGCGTTCTGAATGAAGTATATCCCAGAACCCCGAGGCATCCCACAACAGAAAAGCTACAACGAGCTGCGTGGTACTTTTTTGTGCGCGCGTATGCGGCGTTCCCTAGGAGGCACATCACTTGCTGAGGCACACGAAGCACACCAAGTCCGATAATGAGTACCTGCGGTTACGGAGCACAATGCGCAATGAGTTGCGCGCAGACACGGCATCTTTGTGCTCCCACAGTTGGAGCGATTTCAATTTCTCCTGCACGCCTTTGCTCACTGCACGCAACTCATCCCAATCCGGTCCCGAATCAGCAAAGTTATTCTCGTGCAAGACCGACGCCAATAATCGCAGGACGCCTAGGCATCCGTATGCGTCGTTGTCGCCGCGCATGGAATGCAGGCCCCCCTCGCGCATGATATCCATCCCCGCTTTCACAGAAAAAGGCGACGGCAACCCACAGAGTTTTTTGCAAATGGCTTTCCACGCGTCGGCTTCAAGGCATAACTCTCGACCACGTGGAGTTGAATTGCCTCGGCCCATGTCGCGCCCCACGGCCCGCGGGCCTTTAGCCGTGGAGCCGGCGCGATGCGGCGTCAACTCGCCATTCACGATGCGATATTGCTGAAACATAGATACTGTAGAATCGAAGCAACTCTTGATATCTCTCTGCGTCATTGCGGTCGATATAAAAGATATGCATGGCCAGGACCAGTACAAGAATACGCACCACGCCCCGTAGTACCATGGTAAGTACGACGGAATACTGGGAAGGGCGTGCAAAGCCAGTTGGAGGGCTTTCCAATCTGGCCTGGAATCTAAGCTCGCTATGGGGTATGTCGTCTTGTCTTTATCTTCAATCTGGGGCAGAAGTTTTGCCCGCCAACTGCTTGAACCACTCACATTCACCGCCGGTTTTTTTCAACTCGTAGCTCTGTACAAGCCTACGTTGTTTTTCATATTCCGCTTTACATACTTTGCTGCCGCTTTTCCCATACCACGTTGGCGAAGCGTGAGAAACGTTGCACGCAATGCAGAAATTCGTTTTGTGCTTGATCACCGTTTTTTTCACCCGCTTGGGCGCCATTGAGGGAAGAACACGACCTCGGAGGAGGCGGGGGGGACACGAGCGGGTGGCCGACGAGTGAACCAACCTGAGCCTCAATGGTTACGTGAACGCAACTGCCATACACGTATCCCCGGGGTCACTCCCTGACAGACAACCCTTGGACCGGCGACTCGGTGTTGGATGAGGAAGGACACGAGGAGGAGGAGGAGGAGGAGGAGGAGGAGGAGGGAAGGGAAGATGATGGATCGAAAGAGGAAGGGGGGCGAGGACCACGAGGAAACGGGGCGAGGATTACGGAGGAGCGCGGACGAGGAGGATGAGGCTCGTGGGATTAGGGGAGGAGATCGGAACAAAGATTTCTTCTTGTATACAATCCCTCGATATAATCCCAGGAGAAAAAGTGCCACGTGCAGCGTGGTACTTTTCACATGCGCGTCTGCGTTCCCAATGAGGTATATCCCAAACCCCCGACACAAAATCAAACGCGCGCGTCTGCGTCCTGAATGAAGTACGCCCCAGATTTCCGAGGCAACTCACAGAGAAAAAGTACCACACACAGCGTGGTACTTTTCAGCGCGCGTGTCTGCGTTCCCAATGAGATATATTCCCAACCCCCGGCACAAACTCAAGCGCGCGCGTCTGCGTCCTGAAGTATGCACCCAGATTCCGAGGCAACCCACAGAAAAAAAAGTACCATACACAACGTGGTACTTTTCAGCGCGCGTCTGCGTTCTGAACGAAGTATACCCCAACCCCCCCGACGCAACCTCAAGAGAAAAACTACCACGCGCAGCGTGGTACTTTTTCAACATGCGCGCTTGCATCCGCAATGAAGTATATCCCAAGCCTTCGATGCAACCCCAAGCGCACGCGTCGGCGTCCTGAATGGAGTATGCATCAGATTCCCGAGGCAACCCACAAAGAAAAAGTACCACACAGAGCGTGATACTTTTCAGCGCGCGCTTGCGTTCTTCATGAAGTGTATCCCAAACCCCCGACACAACCCCGAGAGAAAGAAATACCACGCGCAGCGTGGTACTTTTCAGTCTGCGTTTCTGCGCACGGCGAGGAGAAGGGGCCTCTTTAAGAGAAGGATGAGGAAGAGGGGGCGACTCCTCGGCGTAACGGCTTCAACCATGCAGTAATGGAGGATGAGGCCCCAGACTACTTTTAGTCTTAATCCAAAGACCCCCATGAGGAGGACTGACTTTTGGACGTAACGATCTCGCACCCCAGCCAGTGAGGATTAGCCCCTGGAGAAGGGGGCTGAGCAAAGCGCAATGCCAATGCAAAGCTGGAGCGGACAATACAAAGGACGGAACTATCACATGAACGGGGCACGCTCTGCGCACGTTGAATTGCACGACGTGGCGCGGCCCACATAGTTTCAACTTACATGTGGTGCAATAGTGCGGGCAGTGTGCGCCATAATACATGATGTCACACCTCACAGATTGTGCATCATCGGTTGCCGAATGTTTTCTGCGCCACGGAGATTGCACTTCTCCATGATACTAACATCGTCTTAAAACTTGCCCAGGGGGCCGGAATCGCTATATAAGTACCCCGCAGGTCCCGAAATCATACTCACCGTCATTATCGTTGTGGTAGTGGTTGGCATCATCATCATCATCATTCTTATTAGCAGCGTCGTCGTCGTCATCATCATCACCATCACCATCACCGTCGCCATCATTATCATAATCATCATCATCACCATCACCGTCGCCATCTTTATCATAATCATCATCACCATCACCATCATCATCATCGCTGCTCCTACTCCTCCGTTGCCTCATCCTCCCCATTCGCGCCTCTACTCCCAACCACGCGCGGGCGGGCGCGCGCGCGCGCGGGCGCCGCGACGGCGGCGATGACGACGACGACGACGACGACGACGACGACGACGACGACGACGACGACGACGACGACGACGACGAGAGCGGGACGGATGAGAGGCAGCGCGACGCATTGTTATCTTCGCGCCCTCGCGAGGCCATCGCGATGCTACCTCGGAGGAGGGTAGCTCTCTGGTCCAGGCTGCGCCGTGCGAAGCGCGATTATCTTCGCGCCCTTGGGGGTGAGCGAGTCCTCGCGAGCCGTTGAGAATCCCCTCTTCCCCTCTTCCTCATTCTCCTCCGATCCGCTTCCTTCTCCTTCTCCCAATCCTCCTCCTCTGGCCTGAGTGCCGTAGGTCAGGGCATCTGGGAACCCAGAGTTGCGAGGATGTCTCAAACGAAAAAAACAGCCTGAATACTTGATCTCAGGACGTCGCTGAATTCAGAATTGCGAGGATGTCTTAAGCGAAAATCGCCAGACCACTATGGTGCAGATCTGTATTCTTGCAAACGTGCGAATATGGTTGCCATTATGTGGCAAATATATTATCCGACAAATCTGTTATTTGGCATACATGTTGTCTGACCAGTATGTATTATGCGGTCCTTGTGTTTGGCAAAACAGGTATACGGTAAACCTGGAGATCGGCCATATATGTTATCTGGCCAGGGACGCTACCGGACAAGTCTGTTATCGTGCAAACGTGTAAATATGTTATCGATTCTCTGGCAAATCTGTTATCTCGCAAATCTATGAGGTTGGATACCTGTTATCTGGCAAACGTGTTTTCTGGTAAATGTATGATTTGGAATACTTTTGATATGCAGCCGCGATTTCCGATAATATGTTGGGCTCTCTGGCCTCTCTGGCAGAGATCCTGATGAGCCGCAGGCGCAACCGATTAATCTACATATCTGAAGGCACCGGCAAGCGCTCAGAGCAGCCGAATTAATTATTAATTTAATTAATTTAATTAATTTACGTCGATTAAATAAATTAATTAAATTAATTATGCTGCTTTCAGCGCTCGCCTGAGGCCTTCCCCGGGGAGCCCAAGGAAATTAATTAAATTAATTAAACTAATTGAATTAATTGAATTAATTTAATTAATTTAATTAATATGTAGAGATTAATTAAATTATTTAAATTAACTCCGCTGCTCTCAGCGCTCGCCTGAGATCCTCCAGAAGGAGCCCAGAAAATTAATTAAATTAATTGAATGAATTAAATTAATTAACTTAATTAAATTAATTGAATTGATTTACTTAAAATTAGGAGATACCGGTGAAAGATTAATCTGGCGAAGATCCCGGTGAACCTCAGGGCGTGGCCCTATTTATTTAATTTATTTAAATTATTTAATTAATCCGCCAGGGCTTATCAAATCAATTAAATCAATTCTGCTGCGCCTGAGGCTGACCAGAACCCCCGCCAGGGAGGCTGGAAAAATAAATTAAATAAATTAAAGGAATGAAATAAATTGAATAAATTAGATAAATTGAATTTATTTAATTTATTTGAATTAATCATACGGATTAATGAAATAAATTAAATAAATTCAAGTTATTTACTTTATTTAACTTATTTCATTTATTTAATTTGTTTAATTTATTTGTCCAGCTCCGCTGGCGAAGAGCCTGGTGAACCTCAGGGCGTGGCCCTATTGATTTAATTTATCTATTTTATTCAATTAATCCGCCAGGGCGAATTAAATACATTAAATCAATTCTGCTGCGCCTGAGGCTGACCAGAATCCCCGCCAGGGAGGCCGGACAAATACATTAAATAAATTAAATAAATTAAATAAATTAAATAAACTAAATAAATTAAATAAACTGAATAAATTAAATAAATTGAATTTACTTAATTTATTTAACTTAATCATACGGATTAACTAAATAAATTAAATAAATTTATCTATTTAATTTAATTTATTTAATTTATTTAATTTATTTAATTTATTTATTTTATTTGTCCACCTCCGCTGGCGAAGATCCTGGTGAACCTCAGGGCGTGGCCCTATTTATTTAATTTATTTATTTTATTTAATTAATCCGCCAGGGCTAATTAAATAAATTAAATCAATTCTGCTGCGCCTGCGGCTGACTAGAATCCCCGCCAGAGAGGCCGGAAACATAAATTAAATAAATTAAATAAAATAAATAAATTAAATAAATTAAAAGAATTGAATTCATTTAATGTATTTACTTTATTTGATTTAATCATACGGGCTAGTTGAATAAATTGAATAAATTCAATTTATTTTATTTATTTATTTTATTTAATTTAATCATACGGATTAATGAAATAAATTAAATCAATTCAATTTATTTAATTTATTTAATTTATTTCATTTATTTAATTTCTTTAATATATTTTTCCAGCTCCGATGGCGAAGATCCTGGTGAACCTCAGGGCGTAGCCCTATTTATTTAATTTATTTATTTTATTTAATTAATCCGCCAGGGCTAATTAAATACATTAAATCAATTCTGCTGCGCCTGAGGCTGACCAGAATCCCCGCCAGGGAGGCCAGAAAAATAAATTAAATAAATTAAATAAATTAAATAAGTTAAATAAGTTAATCTATTTAATTAATCCGTATGGTTAAATTAAATTAAATAAATAAATTAAACAAATTCAACATACTGTACTGGATTCCTCCCCAATCATACATATATATATATAATCGGTTGGGAGAAGAAGGTAGAAAAGCGAAGTAGGAAGGCGTTGAAGGTAGACTGGGTCCCGCGTCCGCCCCCGAAGGAGGACGGAAGAGGGGAAGACGCTTCATCCCTGAAGCATCAGGAGGGCGCCTGAGATGGATCGGGATCTGGGAGCTCCAGAACGACCTGCCTCTGACGACCGATGGGCGCGTGGAACACCCGGGAAGAGCGAGCAGAGGCGAGGGGCCGCGGCACGGTGGGCGGGGCGGCTCGCCCGCCACCTGTCGTGCCCCGGCGGCGAGCCGAGGGAGCGCGGGGCAGCGAGCCCGGGGGGGGGGGAGCCGCGGGAGTGCGGGGCGGCTCCTCGGCGGGCCCGGGAGGCCCCCGGCCACCCGAGCAGCTCCCGAGGCCTCTGCTCCTCGCCGTGGCCTCGGGCGCCCCCTCCCGGTGCACGTGCGAGCTCGTGCGCGTGATCTCTTCGCGAGCTGGCCCAGGGCGCTCCTCGACGGTCCTCGTCGAGAGGACCGA